AGAGAGAGAGAGAGAGAGAGAGAGAGTCAAAGAGAGACCGGTGCCGCTTCTCTCGAAATAATATATACGAAATGGCGAAAGCAGCGGATTCTACGAGTTCAACGATCGCTGCGGACCAGAGAAAGGGGCAATAGTATGCGTGCATACACGGCAGATGCGTCTCGAAAGGGATCACGTCGTCGTCGCGAGACGCATTCATTGCATTCGGCATTCATCGCGGATTCTGACGTAAGAGGCGTTACATTATACGAGCGTCGACCGCCGACGCGTCGTGTCGCGATTCCTGTGCTCGGCGAGCGTGAGTAAACGCGAACACGCGCTGCACACTTATCCACTCGTCTCCTGCCATCTAAGGGCGACGACCAAGTCCGTATGGAAAAACTGAAGCTTCATTCGACGCACGTCGCTCGGCTCTGTTCGGGCAACGCCGGAAGTGTAGGCAGATCTTGCCGGAGGGTTGGCCCGTCGAGACGAAATTAATGTGATTAACGTAATTTCAGGTGGCTGTCTACCTGCTCTGGCGTGTCTCCTCGAGCTGGCGCGAGATACCAAAGGATTAACGTAGCTTCCTTCGCTTAAATTCGCCGACTTGCACATTCAGCTCGTGTGCAAGCAGCCGCGCTTTCCCCCGTGCGCTCCCACAAAACACGCATAAGCGAATTAGAAAACGCAGAAAGCCGTCGGATTTGATCCGGCCGATTGATCCGCCGTTAGGAGAGACTCGTTATCAGGAGCCGGACAGCTTCTTATCGCGACGAGAAGACTCGCGCGAAAGCGCCGGACTATCAGACTGCGGACTATCGAGCGAAGACATTAGTCTTCGCGATTCCACCTTGCGTCTACGCGGTAAGAACGTTTAGGAAGACGGCATGGCAGGATGGCCAGGGAGTGGGGCAGGCATATAGCACTCCGAGGTGGCCCGTGCTCGCTCGTGCTAATTCAGTCGAAGCGCGAACTCGGCCAGCGAGCGAATTGTTGCCGGTGGTGATCCTGATTAGAAGCGCGCAATGTTGACCGTGGCTCTGTCATCGTAGGACGGCTCGTTATCTCCGAGCTCTATTTCTCTCTCTCTCTCTCTCTCTCTCTCTCTCTTTTGAGACCGTGAGTGGTCGGTCGCGGAACAACATTCGGTTGGAAAATTCCACGTGTACGATCGATCGATCGCGAAGGATACACATGCGTATATAGCTCGAGACAGATGTCCGAAACTGTTTACGTCGCGCGTCGCTCGCGCGTGTTGGTGATAAATATCTGCCACACTACGTAGATCCGTTCCTAAAATACTCGCGTTTTTCGTGGTGGACCGCGTACGCTGAGACGGAGGAGAAGTAGGAGGCAGGTGCTAAAAGCCAGCGGCGTGTAGGAAGCGCATTTTCTTGGCCGGGTCACGGCAGTGGCGGCAGTGGCGGCGGCGGCGGCGGTTGCGGTGGTCGGCGGAGCATCCTCTGGCAATACCGCAGTTAGAGTCGCGCGTCGCACAGTTGACCTTAACCCGATGTCTCTTCATTGAGCGCCACGGACTTGGGTGATCGCGCGCCTCTCGATTCTCGAGGGGATCGCTGCGGCTGTTGCACGTGAAGCTCGTTTCGTAAATCGGGACATGACGTAAACACGCGAAATCTTTCGCTCAAACTGTTCCGCTCGTTCGTCTGCTCACGGGGTCTTCAATAAGTCCCGATTTCTCTCTCACGCGTACAAACATACGCGTGTCCTCTGTGCGCGCGTGTACACATGTGTGTGTATGTGCGTGCGTACGTCGTGCGTGCGTACGCGCGCGCGCGTGTCACGTGTCAATGGACCTGACACGGGTCAAGCCGGACGAAAGCGCGCGGAGGGAACTGGTAGCCCGACTTTCCAGCTTGACGACTCCTTTTCCGCCGACTTTTCCATCGAACTCTCCTCGATAGATCGGTCCCCAAGAAGAACCGAAAGACTAGACAACGGAGTGTCGAGCGCATGAATGCTCTGCCTGACCCACGCGATTTCGGATTGATTGACTGATCTCAGCGGTAATAGTCCGGCTAGTCACGATAAAGAGAATAATAAGGCGCTGAGCGCGCATGATCCACGCATTATGCGCGACCGAGACTTATGTAGATTGAGAGGGAACGTGGGTTGATTCATTGATACGCCAGAGTGGGTGGGTGGGTCAATCCGGCCGACAACCACAGCCGTGAATCTTCGCTTTCGGCCTGCGACCTCGAGAGTTGTCCACCCGTGGTGATATGGGCCCGGTGACACTGATTGCAGATCGTGAGTCCAAGGAAGCTCATCACAACATCAATTATGCGACGACGAGGACGTCACCGGAGACGCGGGATCAAGCCGCGCAGACCACCTACGAGGCTTCCCGCGCGGAACAATTGGAGCGAGCCGCGCAGGCCCTCGCGGTGACAGTGCAATACATGACGTGTGAGGTACGTTTGCTTCCACGCCGTTCTTCGTCTTTGACGTTTCACGTGAGGGATCCGCGCGCGAGCAACATTCAGAAAACACTCCATTTGCCAAAAGATCTTACGAACTTCTTATCAGTCTCGGACTTACAGAAGACCGTTTTCCTTTGTCTGAAAGCAAATAAATAAATTTTGTTACCGATCGATAAAAAATGTTTCAATAAGTGCTGAGAGTGAAGATTACGTCTGCAAACTCATCAGGGTCCCAGAAATTTAAAATTTTGTCTATTGCTTCATATTATATATTTGTCAATGTCTTTGTTTCCTCATTTTGAAGGTTTTTACAAGATTATGGCATCATTCTAGAAATATCAAAATGATCATTGAAATTTCGACCTGAGATATTTATCATATCGGTATTGTTTTGATTTTAAATACTTCCTCATTGGTCACTCCGCAAATTGTATTCAGACTTCCGAATTCCGATGTGCACACTGCGATCAATGTTCTGTGCTTCAATCGCTGTTTTCTAGACAAATTGCACATGAATTGTCATAATTTTGCAATAAATTGCATTAAATTTTAATTATAATTTTAGTACTTCTGGAATAATGGTCCCGTGAAAGTCTTCAAAGTGATCAAGCAAAGACACTGAACATAATATTGGGCAATGGACAAAATTCTAAATTTCTGAAACTCTGATTACAGGTGTAATCTTCACTCTCAGCTTATTGAAACATTCTTTATTGATTCGTACCAAATCATTCATTTATTTAGCTCCAAATAAAGAAGAATGGTCCCTTGTTGGTCTTCGATTTGCAGTTGATCTTTATAGTCTAACGAGACATTTTTCAGCTGGACGCATTCGCAACTCCTAAACTGAAGAGAGACTTTGAGCAGCTAAAGGCCGATTACGAGAAGATGAGGAGCGAACGGTCGGCCGTGCTTTCGGAAATTGACGATTTGCGTGTGAGATACGTCAGCATCGAGGAGAGACTCGAGGCGGAGAGAGAGGATCACCGTAAAGCTCTGGACGAGCTTCGCGACGACTGTAAGTCTTACGTAATATATTTGTTTGTTTCTCCTCGCTCGCTTTCTCTCTCTCTTTCTTTCTGTTTCTCAACCGAGCTGTACGTATACGCGTCTCGGCGAATCGCCGAGCAAAAATTTCGCATGAATAAATCAAGCTCTTTTCTTCAGTGGTTGCGCTCGCCACGTAAAGTAACATTCAACAACCACGAACCGTCGCCGACCATCAGCGTGAATATTATTCCTTGCACTGTTCACGTGGTAACGAGCATAATCGTCCTAATGTCAGTGTGCCGACTCATGCCCGCGCAAAGTGGAACAATTGTTAATTAAAGTGAACGATTCAGCAGTGCCTACGCGCAGCTCAGGATTCTCCTGAGCGATTAATCCTAAGCGTGTCCTTTTTCCTTCCTCTCTTTCTCTGTCACTCTTTCTCTTCTTGTCTCTCCTTAGAAGATATTTCGGACTCGCCGAGCGATTTAGTTCTCAATTTAGTTCCCACGTAACGTTCGACGTTTCGATAGCCGCTAATTATAGATTCTATGCGCGCTCTCCGTTTAACTACGTATATACTTTTGCTTTTCAATTCGGTGCCAGTGCGGCGACGAGGTGATTATGTTATGCTAAATCGTAAAATCAGCATTATCGAAGACGAGACACAACGCGAAATGCGCTATTATTGCTACTTCGTGACGTCGTTACGATCGAAGAATTTACATTAGCTTTCCGTTCTTTTCAGTGGAGGCTCGTAGGGCGGAACAAGTCACCGCGCTCGTCGAGACTCTGAAGGAAGAGAGGCGCAAATACGACGTCAGACTGAATGACGCGACGAAGGAGCATCGCGCGACAATCGCGCGATTACGTGCCGAGCGAGATAACGAACTAGCTCGCAAGGACGCTGAGGTTATGAAGAGGTCCGTAGTCCACGATCAAGGTGCTGTGCTGAGAGCGGAGATTGAATCGCTGCGATCTGTGCTCGAACTGAGGAGCCAGGAGAACGCGGCCCTGAGATCAGAACTGGACAGCTTTAAGCGTGACATCGAGGATAAGGACGCGCTGCAGCTGCGACTCGACACTGTGGAAGCGAGATGCGAGGACCTGAAAGCACAGCTTCAGTGCAAGGACAACTTCGAGCGGCAGGTGTCGCACGAGAATGAGATGCTGCACGAGTCGATTCATCAGATTTCAAAGCAGAACAAACGATTAGCGCAACGTAACGAGGAGCTACAGTGGAGGCTGCGCCAGAAGAACGAATGGGTAAGCGTTCTCGCGAATCAGCTGGCGGGTCCACGACTCTCCCGATCCGCTGGCCCGGAACACACGGAAAACACTCTTCTATCCGACAAGAGCGACCCGCACTCGTCGTCGATGGTGAAGTTCATGGTTGAAAAAAGCGACTCCGTGTCCTGGACCTTGGAGATCGACGACGAGTCGTCGAAGGGGGCGGCGTCCGACTCGTTGAGCAGGTTACCGAAAGTAAGTAGATCCGAGAGTGGTGCGACGGTGTCGAGGCAAGGGTCGCTCCGATTGACGCCGAAGCGGTCCCCCGACACCGACACCCGAGCGAGGTCGAAGAGCATCTCCGTGACGGACGCGACGCGGGCGGAAGAGAACGCGTGGTCACCGTCGTTCAACTCGACGCCGATCACGCGGCGACGTCCTAGGAACAATGACGCGTCACCGTCCTCTTCGTCGTCCTCGTCGTCATCTTCCGCGTCGTCCTCTGCGCCAGGCACGAACCCCACCGTGGCGGCCGCGGTTGCGGCCGCCGCTGTGGCCGCTGCGGCCGCGGAAGACTGCAGCGTCGGCCAGAACCAACCCCAGGAAGCTGGCGGAGAAGCGATGATCTCGGAGGAGACGTCCGCGTCCAGCAGCGAGGACGAGTCGTCCACCGGCAGCGACATACCGCGCCTACCGATACAGTTCGCCTGGGGCAAGCCGATCAAGTAACGCTCGAGTAAAGCGCTCCCAATTTCCGCCGCCACCCGCCTACGCGTTCGTTCTGTTGCGTGCAGTGCCGATGTTTGCGTCGTGGAGCAATCGTAAAAAAGGAAAAAAAAGAAGAAAAGCGGCCGTTTATCCTCGCTCTTGCCTATTACTAGCGGAGGAAGAGATGTTCCTCCATCGAGAAGAATCATCGTCAGATTCTCGTTGCACGCGTGATCATTCCCTCTTATTCCTGTTCGCAGACAGGTTGCGTTTCACTGTGTAACGTCGGCACCTTGTTTCTTATTTTTTTTCCAACTGATATACATATATATATACATACATGAATACATATATACACCTGCTCGAGAAAGCTCGCGTGTGATGAGCGCGTTTAAGTTTTCGTTTTAATTGAGCGATACGCCGCGCGTCTAACGATACGCAAAGCAATTCCGGAGTGTAATGTTGTAAGTTAGTGAGAGATGTACGAGAATGAATTCCACGACGTATTTTAACGTTACGACTGTATAAACTAGACTTAGTACGGTTGTTTGCGAGTCCTTTATTTCCTTTTTCTCTCTTTTCTTTATTCAATCACAGACACATTACTTCCTGCACATTTTACATTGCGATTTCATGGCAGCGATCCGATTGTGTGAATTTATTATCTTCGAAACGCATCGTGTAATAATTTCTCGATACGTACAACGAAACTGCTTCGTTTGCTGTATCAAAGGCGATCGTGCCTTCTTCTCGGGCTTCTCCTCGCCTGTGAAAAGCCCGTAATGATGTAAAATCGCGTAGCATCATTTTCGTTTTTCTAAACCGTAGCAGGCATTGAGAGGATGAAATTTAACATTTTTATTAACTACTAATATTAGGATCTTTCGGAGAATTTTTCACGTGTCCACATTGCCTCGACACTTCTACATTTGAATGAACGAGTTTCGCAAGTGTTGCTTATCTGCGCTTTCTTTTCTTTTTGGTACATATACCTTGTAATATCGCGGCAGCTAAATATAAGGATATGACAAAGCGAACTGTTGCTTCGTTTGCGATCACATCGATTTCATATTTTCTTTCTTTAAGGAGAATTTTTTCCTCAGATACTGCACATTTGTCCTTTTGTTCCAGATTCGTTACTTTTATTACGAATTTGCGTCAATTGTAATTTTATCGCCGAATGCGGAGAGGGATCACGCATCGCATTGGTAGGTTTTTTCTCTTTTTGTGTGTAACGACGCGAATATTGCGGGTGTATATACCCGGAACACAGCAGAGCAGTGAATACCATTAGCGACTACCAGCACGTTGCGACAAATGTTAATTTCACAGTCCGTTCCATAGAGACAAGTGGTAGTTTAGATTTAAAGGAAAGAAACGTCGCGCCGATATAAAAGGTACCAAGTATTATTCTCACTGAGAAAGTACGTTTCTTTTTCTCATGTGTGCTGATAAAAAAATCGATGTATTATATATATACTTCTCGAATAAATAATATAAGTATAATCTGAATTGTAGCGATTTGAAAGATCTGAATTGTAGCAATTTGAAAGATTTTCATTTATATATTCATCGAGACTCTCTATTATATGATTGTCGGGTTAAGAGCTCATACTTCAAGTACCTTGGTTAAATTGATTATTCGCAATTTCAAAATCCCACTCGAAATTCGATGTTCAATTTAATGAAGAAATATATAAAAATGCATCAACTATTCTCTTTTGGTAATGGCGTTGAGGTATTCAATTATCGGAAGCCACATATTAAAGGAAGGAAGGAAGGATTATTCTTTCTCTCTCGATCTATTATCGATGATAAGACAGACGTTGAGATATTACGAGAGTTTTACGACATCTTTTTAGGATTGGAGTATGAGATCGCGAAACTTTTAAATTGTGGCATGAGATTTGATTCAACTAAAATCAAAGTAACGGGAAATATATTATGATTACTGTTATAATTATTATGAATTAGATTACTTGTTGGTTACACATCTGTGATGTCCTCTTTGTTTGAACATTAATAAAATGTTTTATTATGTGGTTCATTGATTTAATATCCTAGACTACGTATCACACGCCGTTTCCCTTTCCAGTGAATTGCAAAAAAGATGCATGGAAAATAACGTGTGTGCTATAAAATTGAAGATAAAGAAGCATATTCAAAATTTTAACGTACTGTCCGTAGCGCTATCGTACGGCCCTACTATGAATTACTTTTGCCCGCCGAAATCGTGATCCTTCTCTCATTTTCAATCTCTTGTTCCATGATATTCGCGCGCAGGCTCCTGGATCCAAAAATGTCGTTCGTGTAAAACGAGCCTAAGGATATGCGTATTTTAATGCCTTCCCGAACCCTTCAGCAACTGCACCATCTACGATGGCCGATAGTCGAAGGTTTCGATATTTCGGTTGTGGTTACTTTAATTTATTGACAAAAATGTAATACCCTCTATTTTTAATTGGCCATGTTACCTCTGCTCGCGGCATGATAACAAACACTTCGCTCGCGTTTATGTTGTTTCTAATATAAATATCCGCGCGTGCTTTTATTCAAGATCCCCCGATCTGACATCGACGCGAAGATGTCTTCTAAGAGGTATTCGATTGTTTTTACTTTATGTTTTTTACACGGCTGACTGCTCACGCTCTGTATGCCGACATATCTTTAGAGATTATTTATAGCTGTAGCAGCGTGGATTTCCCGAAAAATAATCGACCGGTATTGCGCTCCAGATGACAATCTAACTGACTCTTTGTCTCTTTGTTAACCTGCAATGATGATCGTTCAAGATTATTTACCACGTTGCAATCCTTTCTCTTGAACTCTCTCTTATGCTAATTTAACGTTGTTAAATTATGCACTTTACAAAATTTCACGTGCTTATATTGATACTAAAGCTGATCTACTTATTAAAAGAAAATAATAAAATTATGGAATAAATTTAAGATGATTTTGCAAGAATTTAGATTTTTGCAAAAAATGAATTACACAAGAAAATTATTTATTGTGACTGCCAACAGAATATATAGATATTATATTACAGTTTAAGAAAGACATTTTTGTTACTTTTAGTGAGTTAAAAAAGTTATCAGAGGAAAGTCTGACCAGACAACCAGAAGAAGTGTTTGACATTATATGCAAACTAGGGGAAGGGTAAGTTTTTAATATCTCTGTGATAGAGAAGAGCCAATGAATTTGTAATGATGATTTCAACACGTATTTATCTGCAGATCTTATGGATCAGTTTATAAAGCTTTGCATAAGGAGAGCGGACAAGTGCTTGCAATCAAACAAGTACCAGTGGATACAGATTTGCAGGAGATTATTAAAGAAATCTCAATTATGCAACAATGTGACTCTCCTTATGTTGTTAAATATTATGGAAGTTACTTTAAAAATACAGATTTATGGGTAAATCAACGAGTCATTTTCATCAAATCATTTTATTTGTTGAGACAGTTGATTCACAATTTATTGGTAAAATTCCAACTTTCAGATTGTGATGGAATATTGTGGCGCAGGTTCTGTTAGCGATATAATGAGGTTAAGGAAGAAAACCCTTCAAGAAGATGAGATCGCAACAATCCTGAGTGATACCTTGAAAGGATTGGAGTATTTGCACTTGAGAAGGAAAATCCACAGGGATATTAAGGCTGGAAATATTCTCCTGAATAATGAAGGTCATGCCAAACTGGCAGATTTTGGTGTGGCTGGTCAATTAACGGTAAGTCATAAGAGAAAGATCTCAGTGGTGTCTGGATCTAAGCTTTCCTGCTATTCACAGGATACCATGGCTAAACGCAACACAGTTATTGGTACACCATTTTGGATGGCACCAGAGGTGATACAAGAAATTGGATATGACTGTGTTGCTGATATATGGTCACTTGGTATTACAGCTTTGGAAATGGCTGAAGGCAAACCACCATATGGTGACATACACCCGATGAGAGCAATATTTATGATTCCAACTAAACCACCACCTAGTTTTAGAGAACCAGATCAGTGGAGTCCAGAATTCATCGACTTTGTCAGTGGGTGCCTTGTAAAAAATCCCGAAGAAAGAGCTACTGCAACAGAGCTTCTACACCATGAATTCATAGGTAAGTGAAGGATTTTACATTGACTGATCCATATTTGCGCATTGTGCTTGTATTAATCGCGCTGCACATAATACATCGGTGATTGCAGGTAACGCTAAGCAACCAAGTATTCTGAGTCAGATGATCGCCGAAGCCCATGAGATACGAGAAAAGCAAAGCGCGCACAGAGCTCACGTTATAAACAACGTGGCGATTAAAAGTCAAAACCAAGCGGATGATTCGGTAGCTATCGCTTTCGAGTTTTTAGCCTATTTTAAAATCAAGTTTTTAGCCTATTTATAAATCGCACATGTAATCTGTAACATGCCATTTCGTGTCTCCGTTGCAAGGATGAGGACGATTGTAGTGGAACGATGAAACCGCTGCCGGAGGACAGTAGAACTTTAGTGCCAAGTCATGATCTTCCAGACACGGGTACTCTAGTTTCGGCTATATTGGACTTGGGTACAATGGTCATCAATAGCGACACAGATACCGAAGCTACCATGAAGAGTCAGTAGATCTTAGTTATAACTTTAAAACCTTAGAGAGAGAAGGTGACATATAATTAACATGAGCACCACTACTGCTTTCAGGACATAATACCGGCTCTGTAGAATCCGGCAAGAAGTATCGGCCGTTGTTCTTAGATCACTTTGATAAGAAAGAAGCACCCGAGATAGGCAAGGTAAGCTCATTTATACTGTAGAAGGCTAGTGGGGATATTAGTTACTGAAAAGAAAATTAAGGGATTTCTATAGTTGCTTCGAAAACTTTATCATGACAAATTCTCTAACACCTAATTGATTTTACCTTCCATGGATCTGCAGCAGTCCCTCGTGACACGATCATACTCTACACTCTATCTTTGTTTCCACTTCTTTTATCTGTTTCGGTAACCTGTTTTTCTACATGTTAATTGTCCGCATTGGTAGATATCCTAAATAAACAAATTAGATAAATGCTGAATAAGTGTTGTCGCCTTGCTCCTATTCCTGCTATTTTCATCATATTGGTCTTTACATATCCATCTATCTACGAGGTGCTTACTATATAACTCAAGATATATTCTTGCCGGAAATATTGACATCGATTTTATCACGCAGGGTAACGGACAAATATTGGGAGCGCATAATTCAGAGAACGCGAATAAATTGGAGCTGCAAAGTCCCACCGAATCTCAGAGATTTCAAAGTCATCTGCAACTACAATTAAATCAGATATCTCATCCCGTGCCGGAGCAACCACATAACAACATATCCAAGTTCCAAAATGTCTTCACAGAACGTGACTTCGATTTTGTAAGTAACGTTTTTTACCGCTTGTAATTTGCAGTAGCACCATGTGAGAACGAACAATTGTATATTTTACGAGATATAATTCGCTCGAATTATCTGGAGTAATGCCACTCTAGGCATGATAAAAAAAACTTGATAATATAGATAAACAACCATGTCCTGCAGCTGAAGTTTCTCTCCTACGAGGAACTGCAGCAACGGATGGCTAGTCTGGACGCGGAGATGGAGCGAGAGATTGACGAGCTCAGAAAAAGGTATCAGACAAAGAGACAGCCTATTCTCGATGCCATGGACACCAAACGGAAGCGCCAGCAGAACTTCTAACAGTTTGGTTTCCTTTTCTACGCGAACGAGTGACGACGATAGACAAAAGGGTGTACAGTTGTATAAATGAATAGATTTTATTCACGTCATCCCTGGCTTCATCAAAGAGAAGAACATTGCTCACGCCGTGAATATTTTACCTCAAATAACGGACAAGACGAGACTTAGTGATCGTGAATGTTTCCTGTTTACCCGTAAATCAATGTTGCTTTTCTTTATGAATCTGGGGTGTTCTAGCTAGTAATAGCTAATAGCCTCACGTCACCAATGTAAATTATTTTACGCGATTTAGTGACGGAACAATCATTATACTTAATTTTTGTATTATGTTTACCTATTTACTGTTAAATATATCCTCTATTCTTATAGAGATATTACCAGGCCTGTTAGGATCGTTAGAAAGTGAAGAAAAAAGGATGCAATAGAGTTTGCAGAACAAACGCATCATGATTACACTCGTTATAATCGGGAGAAAAAATTTTTATATTCGCTTGAAATGAAATTGGTATCGTATCGTATTGTATTGTCACGCTACGCTAGTCATCCATAATGCCATTTTACCCAGAATATTGCGTTAACGAAATCATCTCGTGCAAGAGAAGATACGCGCTCACGAAACGCACTTAAACGGTCAAACATTTGAGGCAGTTTTGAGTGTGAATGTCGCATTTAACTGTGACAGTTTCAGATAAGCGAACAAGGCTGTATGATTTAATTAACTTTTTATTCTACTGCCATAGATAGACTCTCTATATTCTCATTCATCTACTCTATTATTAACTTTAGTTTACGCCAATTCCGCAAGTGATCGGATTTACTTTCCCGAATTGCAAACACCAATATGATCACACAATTCTAAAGTAACGAATAGTGTTCTTCGATATGCAGTGCTAATGATGCTGCATTCTAGTGAAATATTTCATAAACGAACGTACTAGTATTAGTCTTCCGTATTAGAAAATATTCCAGTATGCCCTAATTTTACACTATCGCAATATGGGAAATTGTTGAAACTGAAATCTATCAGATTTCACTGATGACGACGGTATTTTTAGAATCGTATAAAGAGTCCTTATGATATAATGCCTTACAATAATCATCTTGTGTATAAAACATTGAAATTTGTCACCGCATATTTTTTGCAATCGTTACGAAATAGGTATATTTGTACGTGCCATTAAGACGCAAATGGCAAGTAACCATAGTGGAGTAATTCTTTGCTGACGTTGGGCTATTTTGCAAGTAGCGGAAATAGAGCTATAATACTTAAAACGCTATAGACAGAACTGACCTTAATTTTCTTCTTTTAGGGGATAATAATACAGAATATATAACGACATATTTTTGATATAGAAAGTATGCACATTTGTCAGTGAAGTAAGGTCCGAACTTGAAACTTATAATATTCATAGTCTCGATCCCTTGCAAAGAAAATGTAACAGCATAATTGTCTCAGCGTTTTAACGAAATACCGAGCGAAACACATTAAATTGCTCCACAATCGATGTTACGCTCCGAATATCGTTTTATATAAAGCGCAATATGTATCATGTTATATATGGTCTTCTCTACATTCTTTTAAATAATTTAGTCATATAAACAATCTTTTTAACGTATTGGTTTTTGTGATTTTATTGTACATGTTTCATACAATTCATAGCAATACATCGGGACACTAAGCTCGTATTAACAGACGTTAGATACTGTTAATGCAGATCTAAGATATATTTGTAAGTTGCATATACTTACATAAAATTATAGATTTATAAATTATATATACATACACGTATTTTTTACAGTTTTCTCGCTATTACAAAGTCCTCCTGTTTAAGATATTTATTTTTTGTGACTTGTATCCACACTAACATTATTCTATACTATCTGTTTTGAAATTCGAAAACGCGGAAGGAAGACTCGTAAATTTATAAAAATATCACAAAGGAGCAAACCGACGCATTTTTCTACACGATTGTCGGTCATCTAGCGATCACTTAGTAAACAAATACTTTTCACGAGAATTACGTATTTCATAGGACAACATATGATAATCTGTTTTTATTTTTTCACTTTGAAATATAGCTTTGTATTCGTATTTAATTATGGTCCTCCTTTTACGACGACATTATAATTTTACATTCTTATTGTGTATTGTATGATCTATTACAGTGTTTGGCTGAAATATAGAGACTGAAGGCAGAAGTATGTTTTCTGAGTGAATGATTTAGTGAAAGCAATAGTCTGATAAGACACACATAACAACATATAGAATGATTGCTATTTAACATTAAAGCGAAATATATTGATAGTTTTGTTTAAGATAATTACGAGAGCAAATATTAACGTGCTGCCTTTTTGATCATTTTGTTTAACAATAATAAAAACATTATGCAAACATTATTCTTTGTTCTTTGACCCTTTCTTTAGATTAATTAACGTGTCATTAATATATTAATATTATCAATAAGTACCTTACGCACAGCATTATCTTTGCAATCTACACTTTCAGAAAATTTTGGTAAGAGTTAATTTTCAATACACATTAAATTATCACAAAATATTTGGATAGTGTATAAAGCTATAAAGAATCTTTTATATAAAGTTATTATATATATATAAAATTTTATATATATATATAATATATAAATGCTTTCTAATCACATATCGATACAAAAAATACGTAACAACATTTAACAATCGGTTATAAAGTCTCAATAGTTACTTGTCATTAATTATAAGTCCGAAGCCGTTTCAATGTTCCTCTCTCTCTCTCTCATAATAGATCCCTCAAAATATATATCTTCTTAAAATTATTTTGATAAGGCATACTCTGTTACACTATATATCACTGTGCTCATTAATCATCTCCGTTTAAAGATCAATAATCTATAAATCATCATCACCTATCATACGAAAAGCGTTATTTTCCATTATATCAAAATCTTCCGTGTGCGTTTCCTGAATTCTTTTGACAACAGTTGGTGAGTCATCCGATTTCTTTAACTTCACAGCTGACAATTTATCAGTAAGCTTCTTTATAATTGGTCCCGATTTAGCCGAATGATCGCTATTGGCACGTTCCCGCGATGGCGATCCCATAGTGACACGACTCTGACCATCCCTCATAACGTATGTCCATGATTTCTCAGGTACTGTCTATAAAGACCATGTATTAACAATCAAGAAGGTTCATTAGCCAAGTTTACCGAAGCATTTTATGTAACAAACCTGAATTTTGCTTCCCACTACGCATTTCTGCAACAACTCGTCGATCATGGCTTGCAGACAAACAGACATTAAGATCGCTTGCTCTGATGCAATCGTAATCCATTGTAATTCATTCCTAGCGACTAGGTATTCGAAAGATAACTCCAGATTGCATTCATTATTATCCTCGCAATGTTGCATTCCCTAAATGCATTTGCCACACTTAATTTAAGATCTTCCAATCCCAAAAAAACATTTCCCAATGAAGTTCTTGTCAGAGATTACTCACATTTTGCATAGTAGTGATACGCCAACATCGCATTCGCGATACTTTGAACACGACCTCATGTTCTTCTTTGGACGACAAAATGCGTAAATTTAATTCGTTTCTACCTATAGCAAGTAATACTCTCGAACCATGTTGGGGATAATCGCAAAAGCATGGTGCAAATTGTATGTAGCCATAATATTTTAAAGTACGAGCTACATTCAAATACTGAAATAATAATAACGTGCGCAAAACAAATCATTCAAAATTTTCGTATCGATTTCTCGCGGTAAACGTACTTCCTCCTTGTCCCCGGATTTCTCTAAACTCTCCAGATGTTGTTGCAGTTCCTTGGTGACCGGAATCCAACCAGCATGAATTTCCGCCATTGCTTGAGTGTACAATAGATTCAGAGCTATTGGATCATTCAGTAACTCAATATCGTACGTCGTATCCCAATAACTCTTCCTAAGAACAACCCTTGTGCCCATAGGACGCATATTTTTGTACGTTATAAACGGCGATTCGAAATCTTGTAACTTTCGTAATACTACAGAAATAATATATATGTTAGAAAATAAAGACGGAAGTAAATGTTTAATTAAACACTACAAAAGTAAATATACTCACTTTTGATACTGCCATTGTCTTCTTGCATAATAATAAATAACGCAAAGTGGAAATGATATTTATCTAATAGTTTAATATGTTTACACAATGTCTGCGAAAGATAAAAGCATTTTAACAATTGTCATTTGTTTTAGTAAGTATAGAACATTTCTCTTACAAAAGGAATAAAATCTACTCTCTGAGAAAATTATATACCTTTAATACTTGACCAGAATGCTCTCCTGTGGAAACATTTAAGAAAATCTTTGATCCATTCATGAGAAATATGTCTAAAGTCTCATTCTTAGATGGACCACCTATAGTTTCTTCTTGAGCATTTAATAAAAAACCATTTAATATTTCAGAATTATTTATAGCTATATTTTGACCAATTGACTGAATATATTTTTCCAAAGCTAATCGTCGTTCTTCTTGTTGAGTAATGGTCAAAGGAAAGAACTTTTTTGGTGGAAATATTGGCAATGATATGTCCAGATCTTTAGATAATTGCTCATGTAAATTGTGCAGTTGTTTATATCTCACCGTGCAATGAAATAATCCATTGATATGAATATTGTATCCCTGTAATCACAAAAAAACTTTGTATAAACATAAATAATATAACTTATATATAAATCTATGTAGTTACATATATAAGTTTTCATATAGTTTGTATAAACTTTTTTCCATATACAATATAGTATATGGAATATATACAATATACAATCTATCACATAGATACTCACAAAATACTCACAACATATGCATTTCCACCTTCATCCATAAATTCCTGTGTATCCGGTATCGAAAAATGCATTTTTATGAAAAAAGATTTTAATAGAAGATACAACTATATAAACTAATATTAAATTGCATCATTCACAGGAAAATTTACTATTTTTCTGATATTTCTTCCAGCATAGCAGCATCTGTGCAAAAATATAAAGTATTAAGTAAAAACAAAATGTTTTACAAATTTCTCACTTCCTTATGGCATATACTAAATCCAACATAAATTTAAGAAATTCTTTCAACTTCTTGAACTATTATTGTTTGCAGGAAAATGTTTCCAAATCCAATGGAGAAAACGCTGATATAATGCAATAATCAAACTCATCTCTCTCGCAATATATCGCCGCAAAAGGAAGTGATTGGAAACCTGATTAGCATAAATGTAAAAAAACGCGTAGGAAGCAATGCTCCAATAATCACGAAGTTTCAGATAGAACGTGTCTCTACCCTATGTTGACTTCTCATTCGAATTTTTGTCGCATTCTTACGATATCTGTACTCACATATTGTTAAAAAACTTCCGCCGTTTACGGCCTTGCATACGTGACAGTAATTTTAATCAGTCACATACACCCACTTACTTCACCGCGCGTTATATTTCACATGATTGCAAATGAGCCAATATGTGATCGATGAATCGATATTTGATTCTTTTTAAAATCGATTGCTTCCTCGATGTTTTAAAAAAACGATTAATTTCCATGTCGATTTTTTTCAGTTCGACATTACATAAATTTATTGCTAAGTCCCGGCCTAACCGCCGTCACGACAAGACGTATTCGAACAAGTTCGGACCTTGTGATTTTTTGGAACGTGCCTTGGAATTTTCCAAGACTTTACTCTCGAAATATATCATAAATCGGAATAATGGCGTTGGGGCATAACTCTAAGAGAGGCCTGGAGCCAAATATTGAAGTTGAAGTTAAATTTGTTGCTGTTTTCTTGCTGTTGTTTTGCTATTGAGTTGTATTATTTGAAAATAAAAGAGCGACTAACTAGTTGTTGAGTCATACTACTAAAAAATGAAAAATTTTTCCATGCCAATGGTACAAATTTAAAATAAAAAAATCTGCATTAACAGTATGTATATTTAATATAATATTTATATAATATAATATTATATAATATTTATATTATATAATATTTATATAATATAATATTTATATATTTAATATATTTTAATATTTAATATATTTTTATATTATTTTTGTGTGCGTCCATTAACTAATAAGCATGAATCTGAGTTGCTTTCCAGCAAACAAGACAAAATTGTTTCATTGGTTAGATATGATCTTTAAGGCCTAGTCCACAACCTCCGTTTAACTTTAATTACCGGTTAAGTCTCAACAGTGATTGGTTAATTCTGATTAACTCTTCTTAACGCTAAATGCGATTAGTCAAGTCCAATGGAACAACCGGTCAGTTACCTAGAGGTTGTAGAACTGGGCCTAAATCATCTTCAAGGGTGCTTTCCAATTGCTTAACACATCTTGACACATACGTACACAAAACCAGTTTATCGCTCGCATATTATCTAAAATATCTTGTAAGATAATATACAACCAATAAACTGGTTTTGTGTAATACACAAACCGTAACTGGAAAGCACCCCAAATCATCTTATGAGGATTCACATTATGTTGATGACATACGATATCCAATAGAAGAACAGCTTTTAATAGAGAATTCAATTTTTCTTTGGAAAGCTATTCTTTTATTGAATATCAGACATCGAACGCAATGGGTGTTTACGTTAAATCGAGTACGAGTTAAGTCCGTATCAGACTACCGACTGCACAGGCCGACCCGACTACCGACTACGACTGCTGACTCTCAATGGACCAATCACAGTGAGGCGCCGAGTCGGCGCCTCACTGTGATTGGTCCATTGAGAGTCAGCAGTCGTAGTCGGTAGTCGGGTCGGCCTGTGCAGTCGGTAGTCTGATACGGACTTTAGTTTCACTAGGGTCGACAAATGTAATAGGCACAACCATCTAGTATCTTCATGGTTCAAGACAACTCAGCTGCTTTCCGACGCTCGAGTAGAGTTATGGCTCCTGCACACAGAACGCGGTAATACTTGCCGCGCGGTGGAAGTTCGCGTGACAGCTAATCAATATGCTGCTTTCCGTAATAACCTTCTAGCTCCTCCGGAAAAACAACATATTGATTGGCTGTCGCGCGACTTTCGCAGCGTGGCAAGCATTACCGCTTCCTGTGTGCAAAAACCATTAGAGTTAGCTAGAGTAGCATAGCGGATAACGTGAGCATCAGGTAGTTGATTTTAAAAAAATGTTAGTTATTAATAAGTTTAATCTCATATAGTATGTTTATACCGAACATTTAATACGTGTACCAATTAGTAATTTTATGTTGAATTATTTTGATTTCGGCGATGTATATAAACAACGTCATATTGAAGTAGTGCAATATTTATTAG